GTCTTACCCTGATGATTTTGGTGCATTTATTTATTTGTTATTTATTTATATTTTTAACATTAGCATTGAAACACATTACATTATTATCCAATTTGTTTGAAGAAACATTTATCTTTTTTCTAAATGATTAATAATACATTTTATTTAATAGGTTTGTATTGGAAGGAAAAGAAATCCGTATCAATACAACATGTGGAATCTTTATTACTATGAATCAGGGGTAAGTGATACTATGGTCTTGTTAAAGAATGCAGAAGCATAAACTTCCTAATTTCCTCTGTGGTGCCTCATGTAAACATCTTACTAATGAATTTTTACATAAATGTCTTCTAGATTATAGTAATTGTCTGTTTAAAAACTACAGTTATGCATTCCTTCTTCTGTATGTTGTTCCAAGACTCAAAAGGAGTAAGACAGTATTTCCCCTAAACAATGGTACTGTCTACCCTGTCTTGGGTATTTTTAAACATGTCCCAAAGGTTCAGCTTGTTTGTTTACCATTTAGCACAAAATGAAGAAAAATAATATTTTTCTATACTGTATTCTTACTTATAAAAATGCATCCTATATATCTTATCTTGCTCAATATATTTGGGTACCTTTCATAAATTTCTCCTTTCTTATTTCTCTTTTTAATCATTGTTGCAGTGCACTGAAGTGCCCTGCTCCTAGGAAAGGGTACAGGTGCTGGTTGCCGGGGCAACCGCAGTTCAGTCACCTGACCGGAAGGGGACAGGGCCTGGCCTATATAAACAGCCTAGGCTGAGGCCAAGCAGGCAGTTCCCCACTAACATCCATGGGACAAGGAGCTCTGCTGGAGTAGGCAGCCTGATGGCCTGAATAGCTTCGGCTCGAGGATACTGAGAGGAGAAAGCCCGGGTAGGGGATTTGATTGATGAGTAGCCAGAGGGCTTAGAGTTTATGTTTAGCCAGGTGGCTTAGTTCTTGAGTTGTAGCCAATTGGTTTGGGGTTTTGCTTTGTGGTTACACCGGAGGACTGGGTGAGGCTGTAGGGGTTGGAGGAGGTCTCATTAGAGGCTCCACAGCGGTGTGGGGGCCCCGGTGCCAGAGAGGGCACCGCACCTAGGGGTGCACTGACCCCAGAGCCCTGAGAAGGGGCACAGTGCATTGGAGGGCCAGGTCACGCCCAGGCCGCCTGAGCCGTATAGAAATCATAGACCCGAGGAGGGGATTTAGGGGCCAGGCATGGCTACGACCACCTGAGCCCCAATTGTGATGAGCACCAGAGTGGGCACTAGCGAGAAGCCCCAGAGGGTACTTGCGTTAAGCCCCAGAGAGGGCGCATAGGACTGGAAGCCCCAGGGAGAGTGCATAGGACCCGAGAAGGGGGTCTGGGGGCCAGGCATGGCTACGGCCACCCGAGCCTCGATTGCGGGGATCGCAAGGCAAGGCCCCAGTGCGGGCAGGGGATCACGAGGCAAGGCCCCAGTGCAGGCGTGAGCACAGAGACAGGCCCCGGCACGGGCGTGAGCACGGAGAAGGGCCCCGGTGTGGGCAGCAACCGCGAGAGAAGCTAGGGAGTGTCCGTGGGGCATGGGTAACTGCGAGAAGCCCCAGAGGTGAGAGGGGGCAGCGAGAAGTCCCAGAGGCGAGCCAGGGGGCGCCGCAAGGGCGCCAAGAGAAGAGAATTGACTAGACAACGTCCGAGACATCTGAGAGGCTTGGGGCGGGGTATTAGGGGTGGTAGGAGCCACGCATAGCCCTTGAGGCTTTAATTCACAGGGTCCACTAAGACAGGACACAAACTGGGATACATCAGGGGTACTGTGTCCAAGGGGGCAAAAGGCAGCCTCCCTTAATACTTTTGTCATCAAAGATGTGGCAGGCGAGAACAAGGGTGCATGGACACCCACTTGGCACGGTAGGGGGCGCTAGGAGAGATCACAGCCACTCCTGGGTCCCCACCCTGTGACAATCATAAAAAAAAAAATCTACCTTCCACCTCTTATAGGCTTATAACCATAGAGCTGGATTCGTGTTCTCTGCTTCGCTCAACGTATCAGGATAGTATTAAACCTTGTTGGTTATTCCTTTATAAAACAAATATTGAGGTAATTTTTACACATGCTCCAGGAATGGGGGTGGGCAATTTTAATTAGAGCGGCTCTGAGAGCTGCTCTAATTAAAGTGCCTGCAATGTCTCATGTCTCATGTATTTAATTAAGCTTACTAAATGAGCATTAGTTAGCTCCCCTGCCACCATTTTTAAGCACGAGGATGCTGATACATGAGATGTGCAGACTGCTGGAGGTCTGCTAATTACCACACTCCAGTTGACTCGATTGACCGAGTCTGCTCCAACACACTGTAATTACAGTGTGCCGAAGCAGCTTCCCCGCATGTCTGCAGGCACCCTTATAGAAGTCTATATTTTCTTTATCATTCTTGAACCTTCATTTATGCTTTGATAATTATTTGGGTCAGTTACTAAAATCTTCTCATCTTAAGGCCTCACCAAGTTATTCTGTTAGATCTTTGAAGTGTGTACATGTCACTGCTGCCAATGACAATCTGTTAGCTATGAGATTCTCCTCTAACTTCCTTCAGGTGCAATTTTACCTCAGATATGAGTTTACTTATCCTCAATTTCAGTGCTCTGCTTCTGTACATCTTCAGCCTTATTTCTTCTTGCCTTCCCTCTCATTTCTTGTTGTCTTCAAATCAACTGCCTGGTTATTCTTTGTGTATTCTTCACTCACTTTATTTCTCGTTCCAAAATGTTCCTAATCTTGAAATTCCTTGCATGTTGTTTTGCATCAACTACTTACTTTTTTATTCAAATCCTTCCATAAAACATCATTCTTGCCAAGAAGCCTATCAGGCTTATTCCACCAAAGTGAAGTAGGAAAGTTTATAATATACTATAAAAATTAGGGCTGTGCGAAACAGCAGTATCCCACTTCGACTTCCATTTCAACACTTTGATGGAACAGCATTTCGTTTTGAGTTTCATTTCATTTTGAAAGCATTGTTCCATTTCATTTAGTTGAAATTGTTTTGCTGTTTCGACACTGTTTCAACGTTTTGCCCATAGGCTATAATGGGGAAGCACGAAACAGCCTATAACTTTGTCATTTCTTGCCTGATTCAGATCAATCTTGCAGGAATGGTAGCACCTTCTGAGGGCATGAAGCCTGCCGAGTTTCAAGGAGTTGGTACAGAGGTTTCTAGGAAACTGCACCTCAAGCTGTTGACAAGCAGGAACAGTGTCCTGTGATCCAGCAGGCAAATCAGGGGCCCATACCCCCCAGAGGAGTCCAGCAGAGCCTCTGCAGCCCTCCTGGGTCTGCCTGCCAGATGACAAGAGGCTGCTGCTGCTGACTGGGGCCAGCAGCAAGACCCATCTTTCCAGCATGGGCTGCACTCAGGTTCCAGCCAGCAGCACCAGCTTTCTGTCATCCAGCAGGCAGATTGGGGGCTTGCCCCCTCCCCTGGGAGGGCTGTGGGGGCTGCCCTGGACTCCTCCTGAGGGTGTGAGCCCCCAGTGTGGCTGCTGGATGACAGGAGGCTGTTGCTGCCACCTG